CAGTACTGGATGGTAATTATCTCACTAGTAAGAACTATCAAGAAAAGTATCAATCATACAGCAAGACCAGAACATGGTGGATGGATCAGCTAATAGAAAATCCCACAGAGAGGGAAATGAAGCTTCAGAGATATATACAATCTTTACATGAAGACCTACAAGTGGCTCATCAGAGCAAAGTATCACTACAGGAGGCACTGGTTGAGGCCAATCAACAAGGTATATAGGATACTACACACACACACACACTTTAACTGTACTAACTGATTACTATTATGTAGTATTGTGTGGTTATTGGTAGTGTGAGTGTGTGTATTAGTACTGGTTTACATTATGATACTAGTGGATTAGACAATGTTGAGTATGAAAATACTGTAATTCTTGTATAATTTCGCACCTCTAATTTCAAAAATAAATAATTTTAAGTACATTAAAAAAATTAATTCTAATTATTTGTTTTGTAAATTATGATGAAAGTTCTTCTAATTTTGCCATTTTCCTCTGATTTCGACACTCGACAGCATTATAACACATGGGCCTGTGCTGGAAGAGGCCAAAAATCATTTCTAACTCGCAGTGATGCCTCGAGCAGCACTCCGCTGGACAGATGACTGTAATTAGTAGGCCTAAGTTCAAGATTCAGATTGTGTTAGTCAAGCAACAAAGAAGCATCGACATGCAGACTTATATCTTGTCCAAATATGCACCTTAGTGCCCCCTATTTTGTCATAATTGATTGCTAGTTGGCCATAAAGGCTTAGTTTACTCTAATTATTCATTTTCAAAATTTATTTATCAAAAGTGACTGTGGCAAATTTTTAGAAGATTTACGGTAGTATCCTGTACTCAATAAAAAGGTCAAAATTGTGGATGCATTAGAAATAATGAGATTCATGTAGAGTGAGCTCTGCTTACCATATATGGTATGATTAGCCATAGTCATAGTACATGTATTTATGGGCTACTGTACATGCAGTGCAAATTTGTATAAGCTAGAAATAATTGGGGCGAGCATGGGCGAGCCTGTCACAAATTTTTTTGTCCGGGGGCAAATTTTGTCCTAGGATAAATTACGGCCAGATAAAAAGAGTCCGTGGTGGATGAAACTTATCCTACTATGGAAGGTGAGAAAAGAGCACATGTTTCTTCAGTTGGTGCCGCGTTTTGTGTATCACGATGGCTACTGAGGGTGAAGAAGGACTTTTGGAAGAAGCTGTGTTATATTTGGCAGAAAAGAAGTACAGCGATGGAATTTCGAATAACAGGAAGAGGCAGATTAGGGCAAAGGCTAAGAAATTTGTTTTGAAAAGCGATGAGTTGTACTACAATCCTGGGAATAATAAACCAGTATGTCTAACAGTCTTTTTTTTCTACGTATTATCATTTTGATTGTTATTAATTTTTATCAGTTTTATTGTTATTATAGTGTTGTTTGCTTTAATGTTATCATTTTTGTAAGTCAGGTGCATGATATTGATCATGTGGTATAGTGTTTGCTATCATCATTGTGTCTATTTTGTTCCTCGTAAACTTATGATTGTTATTTTGTAGATGGTTAAATATATTAAGAGCAGATCAGACCAGAAGAGAATTGTCAAATCTTGCCATTTGGACGCAACATCTGGCCATTTAGGAGTACGGAAAACAGTGTCCAGGATTCGTGAGAGGTTTATGTGGAAGGGGATTTGGAAGGATGTGAAAGAGATGGTAAATGTGGCATGTATCCATGCGTGTATATTTACAAGGCAGATTTGTTTTAGGTATCGACTTGTAATGAGTGCCAAAGAATGAACAAACCATCAATAGTGACAGTGACAGAGCTTCATCCAGTGCCTATCCATTCTCCTTGGTATCATGTTGGAATAGACTTTGTTGGTCCAATTCATCCAATCAGCAGACGTGGCAACAGATTTATTTTAACACTTTCAGATTATTTTACCAAATGGGTTGAAGCTATACCATTACCATCAAAGTCTGCTGTTAATGTCGCTTCATCATTACATCAGGTTATAAGTATAATTATTTTTCACATACATGTGCATTTATATTTTTATTCAGTATTATTACTTTGTCTTTTTGTGTAGGTATTCATGCGGATGGGCTTGCCCAAGCTACTCACGAGTGATCAGGGAGGAGAGTTTAAGAGTGACTTAGAGAAAGAAATAATGAGACTTCTACAGATAAAGAGACACTACATTACACCATATCACCCTCAAGTATGTATCTACTTTTTGCAATATTAATTTCATTTATGTTTTTATGTCAGGCCAATGGCCTTGACGAGCGCTGGAATCAGACTCTAAAGGCAATGATAGTGAAATTTACAGAAGGAAAGAAAGATCAGTGGGATGAGTATTTGCCAACCTGTGTATTTGCATATAATACAGCAAAACATGAGTCAACACTTAACACCCCTTTTGAAGTTATGTTTGGGCGTAAAGCTAACCTCCCCATAGATTTGGATTTTGAAGATGCTAAGGGAGAACAGTTGCTACATGATTATGAGACAACAGGACCATCAGAGGTTGGTCATTGACACTACAGTAATACTTTTTATACTTGCATACACTTTATAGGATACAATGTCAAAGCTCACAGCTACTAGAAAGGAATTACTGCAAACAACTAAGAATAATGTTGCAGTTGCCCAAGAAAGACAAAAAGAGCAGTACAATCTTAAGCATGTCAAGGCACCAAGATTTCAAGTTGGTATGAAAGTACTGAAGAAAGATTTTAGGAGAAAGAAGAGGAAAGGTGGAGGAATGACATACAAATGGCTTGGTCCTTATGATGTCACAAATGATGTTGGTAAAGGTTTCTATTCTCTGAAGGATGTAGCATCAAATGCAGTCATTAAGCGAATACACGGAGCTCATCTAAAGCAGTTCAAAACTCCACCTACTTCTCCTGCTACAAGTCAGTCACTTTCAGAGGATTCTTCATTTGTAAGTGAATCTAGTGCCTCTAAAGATTTCAGTCACAATGAATCATGGACTACACCATCACCTCTACCACCACCAATTATGCATAAATCTGAACCACACTCTTCTACACCTTTCAATTCATCTAAATCATCCCCATCTTTGACATCCTTACCACCTCAGTCAAATTCTTCACTGAAATCAATACCAAAATCTTCACTGTCTAACATCACTAGTACTGAATCACTTGTACAAAACCAATCACAAGAGCTTGCAACTAATAATGAGACACCAGATTATGAAAAAGGTGGTTATCTAATGACACCTTCAAGTCCAGTCTTCCCAGAATGTGTAGATTCAGTACAGCCTATGTTGTCGGTTTTTCCACCAGAGGTAAATGTAACTATTTAACATTGTAATAGTTTGTGAATGTACTAGGTGCTTCGGCCGCCATATAAAACTTTGTGGGAATTAACTTGTGATGATACTGAGATAACACAAGATTATACATCTATATGTAATGTACCAGCTGATGACTGTAAGTACTGTAACAATTACCTTAATTGCAGTGTATAATCATAACATGCGATTTTTTTTCATGCTGTAGCTAAGAATATGACAAGTGATATTTTGAAAGATGATTGTAATGGAAATCATGAAGTAACAACTACACTGGTAGGAGTAAGGAAGCGACCTTTTGAACCTGGACAATTGCAAGCTAAGCGTGTTGAGACTGGCTCTCCTACTAGTAAAAAGCAGAACATACAGGAACAAAAAACTTGCAAATGTGAATAAAATTAATGCATAATTTCTTTTACTCTATACTATGCATAGTTTCATCGTGCAGTACCAGTGTTTCACCCGTTAATAAGATAAGGAGTGTGAAAGACATTACCTACGGTTTGCCATTATTATTAATGCATTTTGTAATAGTACTTATAATTTTATAGAATCGAAGCCCAAGAAATGTATTACTTTAGCTGCAAAAAAAGATAGAAAACGGAGGTTCAGGAAATATGATAATCTAAATAAAGACAACAAACCACCTGGTACATTTAACTGGATTATAATATACAATTGTTCATATTGTATTTCATACAGATAGTGTGGATTTAACAAAACAAATAGATTCATCAACAGAAAGTAAATCAGAAAACTTTTGGATTGAAGAACTAAGGCTTCGTAAAACTGAGAAGGACTGTATTCAAAAGAGGGTATGGCTTACAGACAATGTCATCAATGCTGCACAGAAGCTCATTCAAAAGAAGTTTCCTAAAATTGATGGGTTACAATCTGTAGCTTTAGCAGAGACATTGAGCTTTTCAATTTTTAAGGGTAACTTTGTACAGATATTAAATGTCAATCACAATCACTGGATAACTGTATCAAAAGGTATAATTACTGCATTTGCTTTAAAGGATTATAATTGACTGTACAAATCAATATTTATAGGATCTGAATGTGATGTGTACCTTTATGACTGCATGCTTTTGACAAGAATACCACTTCGTACACAAGAGCAAATTGCCTCAATATGTTTCGGCAAGGAGAAAAGTATACGTGTTGGTATTAAGAATGTACAGGAACAAAGTGGTGCAAGAGATTGTGGGCTTTTTGCTATTGCCTATGCTACATCTGTGTGTTTTGGAGACGATCCATCTGAAGTAGCCTACATTCAGCATCAATTGAGACATCATTTGATATCATGCTTTGAGAAAGGCGAAATTATCCCATTTCCAACACGATCAAGAAGACGTCAACCCAGGAAGACAACATATATGGACATTCTCATTTACTGCCATTGTAGACAGCCAGAAAATGGGAAAATGGCGGAGTGTAATGCATGTCACGAATGGTACCATGATGATTGTGAAGAGATACCAGATGTTGTTTGGAGGAACCCTAAATATAACTGGAAATGCAAGAAATGTACACAAATCTAACCTGTTTTGATATTTGAATTTTTGTGAACTGTGCAGTGATATAGTGTTAAAGATTAATTTTTATTTAAAACTGTAAACATTAAAGCAACAGCTAGCACTCAAAGGCCAATCTTTAAAGAAACTAGTCAAACAAGATGCTCCAGTCAAGCACAGTCTTGGGCACAAAATAATTCCATTAATTTTTTATCCTGTGCCAATAATATTCTTCAGTGTCCTAGGACAATATAATTCAGCTAACAATATTTTATCCTACATGTAGGTCAAACTATATTTTATCCTAGGACAAAATAATTCAACAATATTTTATCCTGGGACAAAATAATTTAACAATCTTTGTCCTAGGACAAAAAAATTTAACAATCTTTGTCCTAGGACAAAAAAATTCTTAGTAGGACAAAATTAGTCCAACAATTATTTGTCCTAGGACAAAATAATTACGACAATTTTTATCCTAGGACAATTCTCATCAGCATTTTTTTATCCGGTAGGACTGTTTTTGGGTGGGACAGATTTTGTCATGACAAGCCCCACTAAGACGAGCAGCGTTT